CCATTTTCGCAAATGTCACTTTTCAAGAAAGAAGTCGATCGATTGACAAATGCGGGTATTTGGAAACCTGTGAAGTTTTCCCAATGGGTTTCGCCTATTGTACTAGCGCCAAAAGCTGATGGTTCCATAAGAATTTGTGGGGATTTTAAACAAGCAGTCAATGCGCAAATTGACATTGAACAATATCCTTTGCCCATACGCGTTGTCTTTTCCATAAAATTAATTGCGGTCAACATTTTACAAAAATCGACCTTAAGGACGCGTATTTACAAATGGAACTCGACGATGAAGCAAAAACAATAATGGTTGTCAACACTCCACTTAGGTTATTCCAATACCAACGTTTACCGTTTGGGATTGCAAGCGCTCCAGCTATATTCCAAAGATATCTTGAGCAGTTACTTCAAGGTGTAGAAGGTTGCGGAAATTATCTCGATGACATCATCATCTCCGCACCTACATTTCAACAACACATCAGCCGCCTAGAACAAGTCCTTCGTATTTTGCAACAAAATGGTATCAAGTGCAAGCAAGAAAAATGAAAAAAAAATCAAATATAAGAGTCGTGCTCTCGCATACGTACGTTGACGGTACAGAAAGGCCTATTGCTTTTGCATCTAAAACTCTCGACATTCATCAACGACGATATAGTCAGATAGAGAAGGAAGGGCTAGCTATCGTTTTTGGAGTCAAGCGTTTCCATCAATATTTATACGGAAGGAGATTCACCTTGGTTACTGACCACAAACCTCTTGTTAGCATTTTTAATCCAATTCATCAGTTGCCGTCGATGACGTCACATCGTTTACAGCGATGGGCTGTAAACGATACCGAACATTATGGCTTATCACTATGATGTTCGGTATCGTGAAACTGCTGAGCATGGAAATGCCGATGCTTTATCTCGTTTACCTGTTGGTGAAGATAAAACTTTTGATCATGAAGAATCCTATTTCAACATCAATGAACTTAACACACCTATCGACGCTGAAATAATTCGTCAGCATGCCAAAAATGACCCAATTCTTCGCCGAGTTTATTTTCTCGTTACAAACGGTTGGCCTGAAAAGCTAATGCCTCAAGATGCTGATCTTCGATCATTTTTCAATCATCGCTTTGCTTTAATACTAAACAACAATTTGCTTCGCCTCCAGACGGAGTATAACCGGGTTGTCATTCCAGCCTCCCTTAAGCAGAAAGTTCTTAAACTTCTTCATGATGGTCATTGGGGAATATCGAGAATGAAGCAGCTAGCTCGACAACATGTCTGGTGGACTAATATTGACAAAGACATCGCACAATTAACTGAAAATTGTGATGTGTGCAAAATTGCAAATCCTGGTCACGCACGTGAATACGTAAGCTGGCCTGAAGCTGATCGACCTTGGGAGAGAGTACATATCGACTTTGCTGGTCCATTTTGTAATTCAATGTGGCTAATTTGTGTCGACGCTTTCTCGCAATTTCCGTTCGTTGTACAACTATCTACAACAACAACGGTTGACACCATATCACCATTGTCTTCTATATTTTCTCTGGAAGGTATACCAGAAACCATTGTAAGTGGCAATGGTCCTCAAATAACAGCTGAAGCATTCAAACATTTTTGCTCAAAACTTGGCATCAAACATATAACAACAGCGCCGTTTCATCCAGCCTCAAACGGGTTAGCCGAACGATTCGTCAGATCTTTTTAAACTGCTGTTAAGAAAAATATTGACGATGGATTGTCTCTCAAATTCGCTGTATCAAAATACCTTGCAACATATCGTGCAATGCCGAATGCTGAAGGTAAATCACCTGCAGAACTTTTACATGGAAGGCCTGTTCGTACCCTGTTGACTCAACTGTTTGAATCGTCTAGGAAGCACCTTGAAGCTTCGAAACGGAAAATGAAATTCAGTCTAAAGCAACCTGTCTTCGCTCGAAACTACGCAAGAGGGGAAAAATGGATAAAAGGAGTTATTGTGAAACACCTTGGTGAAATGGTTTAAAGAGTGAACACATCTTTTGGTTACATCAAACGTCACGGTAATCAGCTTAAAACTAGAAGTAGCTCTGACCTCTCTTCACAACCAATTTTTGAATTCGCTCCAAATTTCATCAATGCCACACCGCCTTCATCTAGCCAATCAACATTAATGCCTAGTGAAGAACGTTCTACCGAAGTAGTTCAACTTCGAAAAAGTTGTCGTATTCGGAAGGATGTAAATCGATTTGAATCCGACGATTTCAGGAAAACTTAAACTTTGTCAAAAATTAAGGGCGGAGAGAGTGTTATAATCTAGTATGTTTTGCATTAGTTTAAGCAATCTTAAGTAATGAAATGTAAACAAAATTTAGTTAAATATAAACTGTCAATCGTGTCGGTTGTATTTACTTCATAATCTATGTGTGCCAGTGAGTTACCGTAATTTGTTTTCGGTGGTGGTTTTGTAATAATTACAATGTATACATTGTAATATTTATATTTTTTTTAGGTTTTTAGTATAATTGTTATAAATTGTATTGTAGATAATTAATTCCATATGATTATTACAAATACCTCTTATTGAAAAGAAAAAAATAAAAAAACATAACAAATTATTGTTTGTGATGTATTGTGTTTGTAGATAAAAAAATTTAAATAATATTTAGGTCGTGTGCGAGTTAGGCTAAATTGCGTTCTAAATGAGCGAAATTCTAAGTTGTGTCGATAATACAGTGATGTGTCGATACTTAGCATATTTTCCAGGCTAAGTCGAGACTAAATCGCCAGGGCTGCCATTTTATTATTTTCATAAGATAATATTTTTATATGTGAATTTAAATGAATATATTATATGAATATAGAAATTTTCAATAATAAATAATTTTATTAAAACGTTTTGTTTTATTTGTATTAAAAAAAATTAATCATCATTATTAGAAAAATTTTAACCGAAAAGTTAATCACTGCGTGCATATATTTTTCATTATTTAATGACCATTTACAATAAATTTTATAAATATCTGTAATTTTTAAAATTTTTTTTACATTTACTTAATATTATAAACATTTATTTGATAAAATTTTATTATAGTGGTTGTTTCCAAAAAAATAATTGAATTTCTTTCGTTGACTTGGCAATATTGTTTTGGTAATTTTTGACATTTGAATAATTTTGTTTGTGTTCAACATTGTTTGTAAACAATTTATATATTGTAAAGGTAAAACAACTTGATCCACTTTAGCAGCTGTTATGCCTAATGTCCCTCGACAATTAATGCACACAGATTGAGTAATTTAAAATTACTAACTTTTCTAGAAAGTTGTTTCTTTATTTATACAAAATTATATTACAACTAACTTAACTAATTTCCTATCAAGGTTGAAATAATATGTTGTCAGTTATCGCTATTTTTAGTGGATTGTATTATTTTTTAATTATATTTTATTGTTTTTTTGCAAAAAGGTTCAAAAAGGGATACAAGGACGGAAGTCCCGGCACTTGGGATTATTCCTTCTGTCTTTTTCACATATATTTTCATAATTGTAATTAGATACGGTGCCTTGTATTTATAATCAGTAATACAATTTATCTATACAAAAGTATTTAAGGAAATAATGGAATTTCCCTTTGGATACTTAAATGATCAACAATGTCCTTTACAAACAACATCCGGTTGACGGTAACATTAGGTTTAGATTATTTATCATTTGAAATAAGCAACATTAAAAGCCGTTTTTGTTGCTTTGTCTATTGGTTTGTAAGACAAACTTAAATTGATAAATATGTGGATCAAATCTACATAACACAGCCAAAGTTAAAAAGTGCATAGAAATGTAAACCTGTCTTTAATTGGGTAGTTCATTTCACTGAGCTACCGATAAATAATGTAGTACAAAAAGCTGAACATAAAAAAGATGTTTTTGACTTTGTTAAAGAAGCCAATCTTGGAAGTTTTGCAATGTGGTCACTTTGATTGTGTACGTCCTTACTATCATTTAATGCAAATGGCAAACTTATTGATACAAGATGTTACTGACAATAATGATATTCGTATGCTGTTGTCTTCATAACAAATACAATTTTTGACTTACCTTTTAATTCAGATCTTGTAATAATTGTAAACACGGTTTTAGTAATTCATTATTAAATAAAATAAAATTTCATTTATTCAACACAATTATTTTTTATTTATATAAATTTTTTATATATAAACCTGGCTAGATTTAAGTTTATTTTGTGGCAATAAATCTATATGATGGTGGCGTAAATAACTTCAAAATAAGGGTATCATTAGGACTGGTGGCCTGTAAAATATTAAATTTTTGCCTTAACGATATTATTTGTTTAAAAATATTGGTACTACTCTTTGCACCAGTTGCTTTTAATAATTTGTTTGTAAAATACATTGAATATTTTTTTGGTCTACAGTATGTTTTGAGTCGAGAATCATTGCTCTAATTTATGCAATTTCTGCAAACATTTTGTTGTTGAAGTCGAGATAAGTCCTTTGATTTATTGGATCTTACTTGATCCTTTTTTCTTGCGATCGGCAAAACTTTCACTAAAGTTTTTAGTGGCAATGGTTGGTTGATGATGAAGTCCGAGACAAAGTTAAGAATCCCATAGATTTTTACTGTACTGTGGCATCTTATGAAATTTTTTATTTCGAAAACGCAACTCAAGAGGTTTTGAAAAAATATTTAAGACAAAACATTTTTTATATTAACTAAAATCATCTATAACTGTAATAAAATATGTAGTAATAAGAGCAAAATATTAGAAACCAACACTTAATTTAACACACAACGCTTTTAATCCGCTTTTAATAGGAAAAAAAAAATTAATTTTGCGTTTCTCACAAAAAATTAGCAAATACAAAAAACGTAAATGTTATTCTAAGTTTTAAATTTTTAATCGTGAAGATCCATGAAATGATAATTCAATTACAAATCAATAATGATTTTATGATACTCAGTGTATAAATATATAAAAGTTTTAAAATTTATTTCCATTGTAGCGTATATGCATGGAACATATACTTTGTTATGAACAGCAACATGGAATGTGCTTAGCTAGCATATTTATGTCGCTTATCGCCCAAGCAACAATATCGCTTGCGCAACAAAGTTATGTTATTAGATACATACCCATGCATGCATGCTACTCCATAAACAACAATATTAATGCTTACGTAGGCATATGTGCGGTTGTGCACAATACATTTTAAGGTAGTCTTAAGATTGTAATTTCACAGTACTAAAATAAAGATCAAACAATAAACTTGGTATTCCATTATTTTCGCGAGCATAACACCATAATTTTATAATAGACAGTTTTTTCTCTGAATCCTTCTGCATGACTTTAGCGACAGTATGTTCTTGAGTAAAATGCGCACGACGCTCACGAAATGCGTAAATACCAGCTTCTATACAAACGCCTTTAACTTCTGCACCACAAGCTCCCGGTATATGTAAGTTCAGCTATTTTACGCAAATTAATGCAGCGGGTCAAGTTAATTTTACGGGAATGAATTTTGAGAATATTAAAACGAGTTTCTTCATTTGGTGAGGAAAATTCAATTTGTTTTTATGATAGAATTATCCTCTTCCACAACAGCTTTAAATATTACGGAAGAATGTCCACTTTTGCATAAGAGCCCGCACTAAATATTCAAACTGATCATTTATGTTACATACTGAAATGATTTTATAATTACCTTTGGATAATCTTCTAAGAATTTCTTTGTCAATATCTTACGATAATTACTTAATTCAATTAATTCGAAAAATTGCATTAATAAAAATGCTTTATCAATTTGCTCCGCTATTGCAAAATATGTAAACAAAATACTGAAATCAAAACATATTTACAGCTGATATAATCTATCAAAATGTAACTCGCGTGCAGTGCAGTGTAAAAAATTCCCAAAAAAAAATCCCATTTGGTTTAGCATCAACTTAGCCTAACTCGCACAAGTCCTTAATGGGCATTTAACACACATTAAATTTATTATTATTTATTAATTCTATGTTTATACACTAAATATTTTATGTATTCTTCTGTAATGCTTGTATTCATATTCAAGCAAATTCATAATAATCAATAACAAAATTTATTTATTTTTAATTCAATTCATGTTTCAGGTTTCTTTCGCAAGTTAGGTTATCCGTGCCCGCGGATTACCAGACCAAAGGATCACAGGCAATGTCAATGTGATATGATTTTTGGTTTTAATCAAACATAAAAAATTAACAATTACTCCTTAAAAAAAGTAAAATAGAATTATATGCAAAAGCAACAATTTTTGAATCATAAAAAATCTCCAAAAATCAACATAAGTAAAAATTAAATAAGTTATGCGAAATGTAAGAAATATTTTGTGGATGAACGAAAAGTTTTTCTGCTGGGTGTGTATTATATCTATATAATTTCGATCTTTATTTATCAAAAACTCCTAGTTATTATTTTTTCACAAGTAACAAAACTAACATGTGGATTCTTCTTTATACATTATATGTCATCACTGGCCAGGGTTGCTAACAATGTGTATTCCAAAATTTTGCGTACACTCAAAAGAAAATTCATTTTTCACCATAGTTTACACTCATATATAACTCAAACTTTAGTGAGAGAAAATGTTTTCAACCTGGTCTTAAAGAAATTAAAAATTCACTGTCTTAAAACTGTAATAAGTATTTCTGTAAATACTAATAAAAGTGTTTTTA